AATGGCTATGTACAAAAGCATTTGAATTTACAAAACATAGCCTAGTTTGTACAGTGATTAGCTGTGTACAATGTAAATTTGCTGTACATTTGCTCAAGTATTGTATTTAAAAGCCAATTTGAGGTATTTGTACTTTGAGTATTTTCATTTTTTGCTACTGCAAATATTGTACATTTTTACTCTGCTTCGTTAATTTGAAAAACTTTAATTACTAGTAACTTATCAGGTTCATAGTAATAATATGAAATGCACAACAATCATAAAGGTTTATTGATCCCTGGTGGTAAATTCATAAACTACCAAGCAGTATGATTACAGTGATTAGATCCAAAAACTATGGTAATCAGAACAGTGCATACTATATGTGGTTAAAATTAGCTCCTGAAACAGTAAAGTGATGTACACAATAATGCATGAATAATTACATTTACAGCATAATCCAGTAATATAAGTTACATTAATGTGAAACATGTCATTTTGCATAATAAGTACTTTTGGTACTTCAAGAGCATTTTGTTGGCATGTATGAACCTCTGTACTTTACTAATTTACTTACTGTACTGCAAACTTTAGAACAATGAGATTAGATATTGATTCATGTTCTTTATTCCTGATAGCTCCTATCTCATCAATAAAAGTAGAATATTCCTTATTTTGGTGGAGAACTCGAGGCAGCTGTTGTTTTGTTAGAAGATAAGAAAGCACATTCTGTCAGAGGCAACTGTCTTAAATCAACAGGGTGAATCAGGAGTGGATTAAAGCAATTGATCTGCAATCAACACATACACTCTTCCTTTGAGATGTCTGAGTTGACCACCTTTCACAAAAGTCAACAGCATTTGGAGAAATCAATGAAGACGCCTCCTTCTGACTCATCTCATTATTATCTTGGCACACAAAATGACTCCTCTCCGTAAATCAGCAACTTTATTGTCAGTAGTTAACAGAGACAAGATGAAGGTTGATGGAGGGAAACTCATAACGCAAGCAGCTTCGGCAAAGGCTTGTTAAAAAGATACCACTTTACAAAGTGTGTGTGTGTGTGAAGCAGAGCACAGCAGAATGAGAGCTTTTCATCAGCTCCAGTTACTAATCACAGTCTCATTCTCTCTCA